TTAGAACTGCATTGTTAAACAATGCAAAGGACCTCTTCTCCAAATAAGAAGTACATAACTTATCGAAGTCCAAGACTAACAATTAATTCAAGGAAAAATGATCATTGTATATGTATGGTGCCATGATAGTTTTTCTAGAAAAAAAAAAAAATTAGCACAAACAGCAACATCAATAGGTTAAGATAAATTTAGGAGTCTCACAGATAGTGCAGAAACAGCATGATCGCTGAGAAGTCGCTCTGCATGACGAAGAACAATCCCCAATGCCTCAGGTGTTGGCATCCCCCCTGCAGTGGAAGGTAAGTTCACCCTAGGCGGTTCTCCTGTATTGGTTGCAGATGTATTTGGCTGATAACCTACATAGAAAAAGAAAAGGTTAGCTTAATCCTTATTTCTTACTGAATAGTTGGTTTGTTACCATTTTGCGATAATCCCTGCTCCATTCTGTTCATAAACTCGGAAAGAGTATTCAAAGAGTGTGGAATTGGCTGAACAGAAAACAAAAAACATTAAGATGTCATATACATGGCCAATTCAAGATTAAGACATGCCAAAAATATCATAACAATACCATATTTGATGGAGGCATGGGAAATGCTGCAGCTGCATGAGGAGGTTGCACAGCCTGAGGAAAAGTTTGGAATGGTTGAGTAGGAAATGCCTGTCCAGACTGTGCTTGATGTCCTCCTCGGTTGACATTATGCAACCCTTCTGCTTCATTTCCATTAGGAGGCTGACCAGGAGTGTTTAACTGTAGAAAAACCATACAAAAAGTTTATACTCTTTTCCTAAAGAACCTTTGCCCATTAACACTTACAACATTTTCTTTGGTTTTACAAGATTATAGCACTTTCGAGAAACTAGTAATTTGACCAATTTATTTATCTGGACCACAATTGCAAGCGAGAAAAATACTTATAACATTAGACATCCGGTCGTAATTTCAAGAAACATACATTGCTCACCGAAGTAGTGAATTGGGGGTTGCCTGTGCCATTAGTTGTAGCCTGGGTGCCAATTCCAATAGAATTGAGAACTGCGCCAATAACCTACCAATAAAGAATATAGCATAATGTGCTTCCGGAAGTACCGATTTAAGGCTCCTTGCCCATTTATATATATATATAAATCCCATTACTTTAACATAACAAGAAGCGAATACGAACCCGATTAAGATCAGGAACAGCACCTTCACCTTGATCTCCAACATTAAACGTCCCAAGAACTACACTGTGTGATATCTGGCCAATGCGACCACGAGGAACACCACTAGGATCATTTCCTGCCAAATTACATCAAGAAGCTTATATACCAACATTTCTCAAAAACAAATTGCTCTGAACCTGAAATGGAAGTACCAACATTTCTCAAAAGCAAATTACTTATTTACCACTATTTGCATGTGCCTCGCCAGAACTTGTACCCGACGAAGGTTGTGGCTGGGACGGCTGCCTTATAACTAAGTGCAATGTGTGCCCATTTTCCAAATCTACAACGGGTTAAGGGATCATATGCTGAAACTGATTCAATAATTGGTAAGATGTGCAACGGCAACCAAATTGCAGGAACAACAAGGATTTGATCATGAGGCACTCCCCAAAGGTTTAGCAATAGAAACTAAGTGGTGGGATCAACAATAATTATTGTAATACCTAAATTAATCTGTCATACAGGAGGTTTGTATGTCAGCATATGCATTGTGATGACACAATAAACTAACCAACCCAGCTGACAGATGATAGGCAGAGATCCAATTCAGTTACTCAAATTTCAAGCATTCTGCCTGTGTGAACACACTACATACACCAGAATCTCCAAAACCCTTGTAGACCTAGTTATGCTTGTTAGCAAGACATTGCATTGCGCAAAGAGCACCCAATCACCCCCAAGAAAGTTAATCATATACTCCCACTATATAGATATGTACACTATACTTGTATTGACAACTACTGCGAAGTTACTGAAATGTCATAAATCTCAAAGTCCACTTCTGTATACACAGTTAATCCCATATACATCAAACATAAACAATAAATGTTTGAAATGGTAGGATACGATACTCAGAAAGAGGATGGTCATCTTTTAACACTCTTCCCCTGAAAATCAGCCGCTGCTGACCAACTGGAACACCTGTTTGATCAGCTATTTTTTCCTTGAACAATGAAACTCGCATCTGAAATAAAAATGTTTACATACAAATATCAAAAATGTATAAAAATAAACAAGATCCTGAAGGGATCATATTCATGATAAAGGCGGGGACAACCATTTAGTTCCTAGCAGTTAGTTCACAGTTTAATTCGGCAGAATAACAAAACTAAAACCCATATAAGCAATGCAAGACATGACCAAAGACTAGAACTCACATTTTTATCAACTTGAAAACTATACATCTGTGAGTCTAAAGTCTTGATATTGATCTCAAGATTTGAATCAGAACCAGCCCCAGGAACAGTGCCGGAACTGGTGCCTTCATTGGAGTGCTGATCTGCCATGCTAAGCGAAATGGTTCAGAAAGTAACCTCAAGTTTCCAACCCTTAGTAGCTGCCTGTAGAATCAAACACCATTTTTCTGTTAACATCTAAGATCAAGCTTCCTAGTACATAATTTGCAGAAACCACACGCGAAGAACAAATTTGGAGAAAAAAAAAAAAAAAAAAACAGTAGCAGAAATTGTCAGATTTTGCAATACAAAATAGAATCCTGGAGGATGCTATTGCTACACTGAGCTGAATCTGAAGGATCAAACAATATAGTAAAACGCCAAGTATTTATATTTAGGGTTTTGCAGTCAAACCCTATAAGACTCGAAATTTCATTGATTTGGGAATTGCCGAATTGCGGAATATCACGGGCTATATGTCATGCTGAGAATACAAATTCCAAATTCCAACAAACAAACTTGGACACAAATGATCTCCGAAAAGCAAATCTACATACCCGAGAGTCGTTTCAATCCCGACTGCGATCGCAAGCCGAAGCACAACGGTGGAAAGTCCGGTTCCGGTGGTTTCCCTGTGTCTGCAACTGCAAGCCCTAGATGGAATCGGCTGAGAACGATGACTACGATGGATACGTAGGTGGTGGTCTTCAAAGCAAATACAAAATCCCTTTGGGAATGTTCGGGAAGCTTCCAGTTCCTGTTAAACGAAGGGTGTGTAATACGACATTTTTATTTTTTGTTATTTATTTATTTTTTTCCCTTATAGCAAGCTAAATCCTAAAATTACTTTAAAGAAAACAATTTTTCTTTTTTAATTTAAAAAAAAAAACAAAAAAACAAAATTTCTTGTACACTGTTTGGCTTGTGTTAATTGGAGGCAGATTGTCTGCCTTCCTGCTTAGGTGCCCTTTTTATCCTCTTCTATTTTGTACGGTCGTTGTTAAACTACGTCAACATTTTATATTGATTTTTTTATAGAGGTAATAAGATAAAAAGTAATAGGAATATAAAATGTTGATGTGATTTAACCGTGACCGCACAAATAGAAAGGAATGAAAATGACACCCAAACAAGAGGGCAAACAATCTGCCATCGTGTTGATTTGAGCTGAATTCCCCAACCCCTCTTTTGCCTTCAACTTTCTTCCTCACATTTGGGGTTAATTTTCCAAATGTAAGTTAAATTTGGGATAACTCTTTCTTGTTGTGAACAAATTTGAAAGACCTTAGACATTTGACTTAATTTCAAGATAAGATAATTTGGTGTTTGTGGCTCAAGTGACTCAAAGATTATAATAAGGAGATGTACAATTAGTTGTACATCATTGATAATTTGATATTGTCTATGTTTAAATAGTGGCATTGTAATTTTTACGATTTGTGTCGAGATCGTCTAAATTGGCACTCTGTAATTTTCACATTTTATAAGTAAGAGAAATAATATTAAAACCCAAATAATCTATTTGCACACTTAGCCTTGAAAATATTTGCTTGAATTTCCTATTTCAGTAATCTAAAGGCAGTTTGATGATCATTATATTTTTATTTTTTTATACAAATCTCAATTAAAAAAAAAAGAGCGGATTTTTAATTTTTAGTTTGGGAAATACTTTTAAATGACTGATTTAGATCCTATTAGAAGAACTTGATTTTCCTCTGGTTGACTTGATTATTCTACTAAGCATTTCCAGTCCTTTTTTCACATGTAAACAGGTGACCATTGAGATGACTGGCGAGGGTGCAGATTATTGCTCCGAATGTGATGGATTGCATCGTTGGTGAAAGAAGCTTACGCTTGTATCCGAAGGGTTTTCTCTTTCTCCCCTTACCGCTCCCATCACTCGCACACACATGCATTCGAAGGCTTCACTATCATGCCTTGCCATAAATTTTGTTGAAAATCTGGCCAAACAAGAATGTGCTCTGCATCGTACTGATCAGCCATCAGGATGAACCTAGACAACTATGATTTGTCAGCACTACGCATTGAAATATTATCGTTCTTTTGAACTTCAGGGCTGGGGAGAGACAGTTATGGTAGGTGTCGCGACAAGCCAGGGTCAGAGGTGAGCCTTCCCTCTCATGACATCCTTCGCAGCGGCAAAACCCTCATGGGATCCTTGTTTGGAGGACTCGAACCTGAATCTGATATCCCTGCTCTCATCAATCGTTACATGGACAAGGTGATTTAGCACTTAATTTTTTACTTGAATTGCTTTCGCCTTACTGAACCTGGATATCCTTTAAATTTTTTTGATTTTCATGCTATCAGGAACTACAACTGGATGAGTTTGTGACACATGAAGTGAGGTTTGAAGACATCAACAAAGCTTTCGATTTGCTCATTAAAGGGCAATGCCTTCGATGTATAATCTATATGAGCAAAGACTAAGTTACTTCTGCGAGTAACAGCCTTTACATTTATATTTATTCTATGATATCAATAGGCATTTAAGGTTTCAGTTTCTAAATAAGTACTTATTTGAATCCCTTGCTACCTTTTCCTCTTATTTTCTGTAACAATAATACACATGGAAGAAAAATCCTAGATAAATATTTAAGACACTGCAAATCCACTAGATGTGCCGGTGAAGTAGGTGTTGGGGGAGTCCCTGGTTTCCTTTGCTGAACCAAAATGCCTTAGCCTGTACACCCCCGAATTTGCATCCGTCGGTATTTCCCATTCTATGGTTGCTGTGCCATATAAGCTACTGCTATCCACATTCCACTTGAAAAACAGGGAGAAATCATCATCGTCGTAAACAGGAACCCAGTGTTTTCCTTGACGCATCTCTACCACTGCATATGTCCCTTCTGTCAATAGGTCATATCTTGGGTTAGCGCTCCAAAATGTGGCAGTTGGTCTATCTCCCTTTTGGAATGATCCACTTTTTGGTAAGCTGACATCCTCTTTAATATCTCCAAATTTTGTACCTGGGGGAGGTGAGTCTCCAGTAGGATCACCTAGTCTGATTTGTACAGAGGAAAGATCTGGTGGTAAGGGACCTTTAGGAAGGTCTTTGTCTCCCCTTGCCATAGCTTTGGCTAATTTATTGAATTCTTGAATGTACGCTGATAATGTGTGAGGACCATAGAGAGTGGAAGCAGCCTGCAGATTGCACGATGCATTGAAAAATCTAGATTTAAGTACTGCAAAGTTAAGAAATTGTTTCCCTAGGAATCTATTTAGGTAAATCTCATGCCAAACATGTTCAACAATAAATTTTGCTTGTAGGTTGAGTATGTACCTCATATCGTTGTTGTGTGTATTCCTCGAAAGTTGCAATATATTGCGAGTAAGTATTAGTAAGACCTGCTATTACAATGCGAGTATCCTCATCAAATTCACCATTGCTGTTACTTATAAGGGTCTCCTTGACTGCTTCCCTTAGCCGCCGACCTGCCATTGTGGTGAATTCTGCAAGAATCGGTAGCTTAGAGCTTGTTAAATCCACTAGTACAGCTGTCAAGAGCAGCCCTTATGAGCGCGAAACCCTGTGAACGGTGTGTGCTCTTGGTGGCTGTTGGTATTATAGTTTATGTCACTTGTGAAGGGTTTTAGTTTTTAGATTGATTTACGCAGCAAGTTGTAAACGAATCTCAGTAGTGTTGGAATGAGGCTGCCTTTATGCTTTGGTAAAGAATTAGTCAGTGCGCATGCAATCGATATAGGTATGAGTTGTGAATTGTGAATTGTAAAAGAGGACTAACCTCCTGGGACAGAAAGTATGATCAGCTTCCCCAACCTGAGCATTTGAATAGGAACGATTGCAGGCTGCATTTGAACCATAAGGTTAGAATAGTTAGAGAATTTTCTCTGAACTGCGTGCTACAAATGTGTTTAATGTGTTGAATTCCCCCCTCTCCCCATATCGCTTTGTGTAAGGAGTCTTACCGCCCATGCATAAGGTACAAACATCTCCCCAGTGCTCAGCAGAACTGCCTTGGGCTGTTGGCAGTTCACTTGATATTGGCTGGGTTTTTTTAGCGAATCCCTCAGTCTTCTCCATGTCGAATTGATCTGAAAACAGATGATTGATTAGCCCAATAGTAGGAGTCTAGGAGAGTAACTTACATAACAGGGTGAAGGAAGGTGTACCCGTTAGGAAGAAAATAGTCCAAAGTAAAAGTGGAAGATGCTGCTGACCTTTTGATCACCCTGTTGGAAGCCGAAGACACCCGGTCCATCTGTAGTCCCAGCAGCAAATCCCGGACCAAGCCCTGCGGGGCATGTTTTCACTTTCTTGTTTCCTTCTAAATCAACCTCAATATTCGTGAAATCTAGGTACACATGGCGATAGTCTATTTTCCCGGTCAGCTGCTCTGTAGCCGACGTGAATAGATCAGCCGCCTTTAGAAATTGCCTCTCCCCTATAATTTTCGTGCTTTGTATTTCATCCGGGTACCTATCAGCATGTGGTTAACGAAATAAAACAGAGTCGCTATGTTACAGATGTACACATTGCGGCCGAGTACTGATATTGTATTGTTATGAAATGCATCGATAACATGTTGGTACGATTTGTTAGCATTATGAGCATACCCAGGTCCACGGCCGAGGCAGAGTTGGTTGTTCCCATGACAGGAGGAGTGAGTGAAGTCGCAAGGTTTTCCAGAATCGGTGCAAAATGCTCCAAGGACATTTGGAGTCACATCTCCCACGTTTGATTGGCAAAAAGCTCCCACAAATAGTGAGCCGTCGTTCTTCCTAACCTTAAACTTGCGACTGGTTGTTTTGCCGCAGGGCTTTCCTCCCGTTGCTTTGATGTTTTCCGCCTTCTTTATGAGCGCTGCTGCCACGCTACTATCTGCACCAATGAACATAATTAATTTACAGAACGTAGTTTAAAGATCATGATCTGGTGATAACTATAATTACCTGGTGGAGATGATATCGTGGCACCGGTACTAGTATTGGTTGTAGTGAACCAGTCCTCAAAGAATCTGGCCGCGGCACCTTTGTTGTCGCCACTGATGAGCTTGTTGTCCTTGCTCATGGAGGTTCCGTGGGTGGCAAACCAGCTGAATGCTCCGATGCTCTTCCCGCTTCCGCCATCCACAAACTTCAATAGAGTCATCAGAGTATCCACATCTTTCGGGTACCGTGCTCTCTCCTCTGCCGGGTTTAGCAGATAAGCACTCGGACTCCTGTTTATTCCCGCGTTTACCACATCCCCTACAAAGTATTCAAATCCCGTCAATAAGCGCCAGTTAGACCTTATGTAGTTAAGTGATCGGGAGAAATTTTGATACAACAAATATTCCGCTTTAAATTAATCTAAAATGTTGGGAGGAGGATTCGAACTTGGATGCATACTAAAGAGCAGATTTGCTCTAGTCAACGATAATGATAGAGGAAATTTGACAGGTAGCTTGTTAGGCGGAGTGATCGGAAACTTGACTCCGTCTAACATGGCTAACCTTGACTCCGTCTAACATAGTTAACCTTGGTTGATGAAAATGGAACCAGGCTTGAGGTTGCGATGAGCCAGAACAATGCTCTGCACAATTGCATTGACGATGGCATCGAAGGATTGTTGGACAAAGCCCAAAGATGTTACAGTGTAAACCAGGTACTGCAAATAACCCCCTGGTCCTGCGTGCGTGTGAATCCCACTAATCGCCACATTGTCTTCAGTGTACAAGTTTCCAAACCTTCAAATTGAAGACACACATTAATTAAATAGTGTTGATTAATTAATGCATATGTGGGGTTAGGACAATGCGTCGACCTTCTTCCACTTAATTCCGCATCTTCATTACGTAAATTACACTAATTTAGAATATCATCTTTGTTAAATAAAAAAAAGTACCGAGTAATTATATACCTTGATTTGAGTTTGTCGAGCACTTTAATGTTAACCAGTTGCGAAGCCATTCCAGCATCAAGATTAACAAAAGCGAACCTTGGACCTTGGGAACTCTCGGCCACGATGAAGGTTCTTGCCCTTAGCCGGAAATGTACACCGGCGGTATTCTGGTCCATGTTGGCATAACCCATCATGTTGACCCCGGCCGCTGGGCCAGTCATGTCAAAGCTGCCCACTCCAATCAAATACTCCCCATTACTACTGTCGTCTGATCTTGTAACAGGGAAGCTAACTAAAACGGTAACAATAATAAGTGACAGAAGAGTTGAGTTCTGCTGTGGAATTTTGCTTCTGGTCTTCATGTTGGATAGCAAATTAACTAAGTTGATTAGCATGAAGTTGTATATATATGTGTAAAGCTCGATATATTTATCGATAACTTCGAATTTGTCCCTTTTTTTAATAGGTGCACAATGATTTTCTTAGTATGTAGTGACTGCTAGTGACTAGCTTCCATCGCTTGTTTCAACCTAAAACAAGAAACTTTTGGGGTTTGAGTTGGCAAAACAAGAAAATCTCTTTTCTCGGTTGCTCAGCCGCGTGCATGCAAGAGCGATGGACAAGGTTTGCTCTTGTCCACATTTGCGGGCATTGCGTGTGCCGCCAACTATACATATTTATGTTCTTTGCATGTGCACACAGACGCAAAAGGGGTTTATTCCTGAGTTTTTGGTCATAGGGTGCTGCTATTCACACTTCTATTTTTACCTCACACATTTCTCTCAATTTTCGACCGTTGGATCGAATGAATTGAAAAAAAATTAATGAGAAAAAAATTAACAAGAATGTATAGAATGTAAAAATGTACATGTGAATAGCACTATCCTTGATCATAATATCCTGTTGACTTTGCACACAAGTTTTTTATGAATCTGTAAGCCACATGAAAGTAAGTTCATGCCATGACTCATGAATGCATCGACAAATTAATCCGTAATATTCGATCATAATATTAACTTGTTAAGAATTGTTCATAGCCACTTCAAAATATTCACTCTACTCATCTTTCTATGATTTTTTATTTTTTACAATTATTATGATGATCTACACTAATTAAATTCATATACACTACGAAAAATGTGGTGATTCAAACTTAGGTGCACATATAATAGATTTTTACTCTAATTTCAACCAAGGCCTAGGATAGGCCAAAGATAAAATTAGTACTATTTTGTCAATTCTATTGCAAGCGTGCCACCACTAATTTTTAAACAACTGAAAGTAAAGAGAAAATTAAAAAATCAAATACGCGAAATAAGGCAAATTTCTGATCTGAACAATTGAGCGACAAGAAAAGCAATACCAACTTGTCTAGGCTCTTAATCTAAAAACTAGACCAATCAAGATATACAATATTGTAAAAGGTGAACGGATAATCATAAAACACTTCGCTTCAACAAGACAAGCAATACCAAATTGTCTAGACTCTTATTAGAATTCGTTTAGACTTACGTAAATGACTAGTTATAGACTTAGAAAGAATCCCTGTCTATTCGGTCAGAAGTTGCGCTAATGGGTTAGCAAGGTTAGATCTCATGAAAAAGGCGGTTAAAATTTCATGTGCAGCGTTCATTGTATGAATTATTGAAGGGCCTCGCTTTGTTGCACGCAGGCTTGTATTTGTAAAAGCAATATGCGTGATGGCCTCGTTGAACACACACACACTCTCTCTCTAATCTCTATGGCGATGACCTTATAAAAATTTGTTTCAACCATAAGCTATTGGCCAATAGCAAAACTTACAACTTTTTCCTTATCTTTTGATATATACCTTCAAAGAACCATGCAGTACCCAACTCTAGCCATAGGAAGTCTTTTGGTAATTATCAAATATTGTTTCTTCGATTTTCCATTCACCCGTGAAATTTCTTCTTTGATTTCCCTTCATTTTATCGTACAAATTTAGATGCAAATAATAACACTACTTTAACTTACTTATATATGTTCAAATTTATCTTTTCCTTAATGGACATGCATGATATTTAGTATCGAATTTGATCATCAGCATGAATCATGAGTGTCGTCAATTTTACCCGCAAAGGGATAAAATCAAGATATCAGAGTGTGGGCCTAATGGAGTAAAGTTCATCATGACCACAACCTAAGACTACAGATCAAGGAATGTACTGTGTGGATGCCTCTGGATCCGGATGGTTCCACCACTGAAATTTTCAGTACCATACATCCGTCCATCTTGATAGCTCTCTTTTCGGTCACAACAACTGCCTTTACGTCGATGCCCCGCAATTCACTATATGATTGTGGGCTTGAGGGACACACAGTCCACTCTTCTTTTTATCTTTTTACTTTTTTCGTTTTTGCCCCTCAAAAATAGGCAAATTGGCTCGCCTTCAACTACAGATAATTAGTTGATCAATGAAATGTCTTCAGAGTCTTTGACGTCCAAATCATAATAATTGAAATCAATTAATTTTATACAAATATCTGCAGATGAGGTCTTTCAAGTTTCGAGTGATTTCTTAATTCATGTCCTCTAATATTAATCCAACAAAACAAGACGATGTCATGTATTTTTAATTTTTTAAAACGTAAATCATGTTAATTATTGAAAAATATATGTTATATTAATATGAAGCATCAGATCACTGGTTGTAAGAAACGGACAATCAATAATAATATGGGTACTGCGTGCACGATCCATCATTTTCTCAACGGTCATCTCCTCATATTTTTGTCAAATTTCAAATTGATGTAGGAATAAAGAAGCAAACAGCTGGTGGAGAAATTATTAGATAGTACAGTATTACCGCATCAGCATACAGTACTTCCAATCAAAGTTTGACGCATGTTCAATAGTTATTCAGCTGGACTTAATACTTATTTTAACATAAAAAATGAAATTAAAAAAAAAAACATGGAGAAAGTAAAATATCCCATAGCCACCTCCATCCCCGATGATTCCCAACCCCGTCCACAGTCACTGCCTGACCAGTAACCAACGTTGAACCCAGATCGTTGGGTCTGCCAAGAACCCACACCGTGGGAACTCGTTGGAACCACCACTGCATTTCGTCGAAGAAAGATGACCTGTTCGAAACCGCACCCGCACTCGATCTTCATCACGCTTGCATCACCACCGCTCCTGCTGCTTCACGATTTCCCAGAACCTGCACTACACCATCCCGCTGCACCACAAACACTACCTTGCGTCTGTCGTGCTGGAACACCCCACCATCACCTGCATGACCCACCGCCGCCGCACAACCATCAATTTGGACAACTAATTAGAGAAAAGGATCAGGTCCTTCCAGTTCATTGCCGTATTGCAATACGGGTCGCACAACCACAAAACCATCAATACGGGTCTCATCGATTGAGAATTGCCATTACTCTTTCCGACTCTGATATTGATTGAGAATTGCAGAGAGAGGTTGGAGAAGAAAGGGAAAGCCCACAGCGGCAGCCATGGCTGCAGACCTTTTTTTTAATTTCCTTTTTCAAAAAATTTATTTTGTAAGATTAAAATAAATATTTAACGAAAAACTAATAGAAATAATTTTAAAATTTTGAATTTTAACGATAAAGATAAAATAAAAGATAAAATAAATAATATTATGTTTGACTTTTTAATATAAAAATATGATTTTTCATTAAAATGAACGATACCACAGATTTTTCATTAAAACTTTTAATATTTAATCCAATTATAAATAATTTGCATATGTGGCAGATTTCGAGTGAAAGTATTACAGCTAACGTGGTGACACGGTATCACTCTATAATTTTTCCAGCTGGTGAGATCCAAGTAAGTCCCTCCAGGCGGGCCCACCACAAGCTGACAATGTCAATGTGGTAACGTTATTGAATCGATTCAGTGGGCAGTGAACCATTCCACATTTTGTGTTAACATTCATCTTCATACATCTGCTTATTTGGCGGAAATAAAAAAAGAAAGATTAGAACAAGCTCACGATAAGAAAATATAGAATCAAAAAATCAAAAACCAAAAACTAAAATTAATATTAAATAAGTTGTGCTACCTTTTTTTTTTTTAATACATTGATATTTTTAAATTAAAAGAAAAAAGAGTTCGATTAAGCCACGTAATAAGCAAATCTAATTTAGTATCAAATTCGTTATCCAATAGATTCGAATCTAAAACTTCTTATTTTTAAATAAAAAAAAATATCACCAGACTAAAGTACTAAGTAGCATTGTTATAATTTCACAAGTTAAGTCTAATTAAATTAAGAGAGATCATTGACATTCCTATCTCGACCAGTCAAGCCTCCCTTCTTTTCCACCTCTACGCATGTTGACATGTTGCTCTACTTATCACTCCAATTCCATGTTACTCTTCTCTTACACACATGTACAACAATCTACGGTACATGGATCCAAGTGATCGTCCAGATTAATTAACGAAATGTTGGTTCCTTGGGCATTTTCTTACATGTCTTAATTTGCTTCTTAAATAGTCAATGTATAAATTACTCCAAGGGAAGATCTTTTTTTTTTTTTTTGGTAAAACACCATGACAGTTTGGTGATAAAACAAATTTACAAGGAACCATTCAACATTCATAATCGGATTTATAATCATGATCCACCAGTTTTTATAAATGCACGCATGCTATAAGCATTATACTTATATATATATATATATATATCACATATATATATATATATCACACAAAGAGAATACAAGGGAACAACAAATATCTTACTAATCAACAATAATGTTTATGTCACATACGAAAGAAATTAAAGGTCCTTCCAAAACAGAGAGAACCTTAGAACGGCAACGCTAGACAAACTGGGAAATGATCGCAGAGTCTCTCAAAATAAAACGGCAAATAAACAACCCATCACAAAAACAAATAAAAATAACAAGCCACAAATGACACCACCACAACCACTCTTTCCGAACACAAGACAAGATTATGTATGTGTTTTTTCTTTCTTAATCCCTTAATTAGTAGGAAGGAGTATCCTTCTCTTTCTCCTTGACGTCCTTGTGTTCTTCCTCGGTCTTGGAATGGTACCCTGGAAGCTTTTCCTTGATCTTCTCCAAAATACCCTTCTTTTCCTTGGGCTCTTCGCCAGCTTCATAAGAGGCTGCTACCGGTGGCTCCGCCGCATGTTTGTCGTCACTGTGCTGTTCGTGCGAAGCAGCACCAACTGGAACCTCCTCAGTCTTCTTGTGGCCAGGTAGCTTTTCCTTGATCTTCTCGAGGAAACCCTTCTTTTCCTCAGTTGGGGAGTCGGTTGGCTCTTCGTGGTGATGAACAACCGGAGGTGGAGCTTGATGATGATGTTCCTCCTCGTACACCTTCTCCACCGGGACAGCCGTGTCCTCCTCCTTGTGATAGGCTTCTTCCTTCTGCTCATCACCGGAGATCTTCTCCTTGATCTTATCCGTCAATCCCTTCTTTTCTTTCCTCTTCTTCTTCTTCTCTTCATCTTCCTCCTCATCACTTGACTGAGGATATTCAGAGTTATTTCCAACAGTTTAGACAAACTAAATTTTAAGTTAGGGAAATCAAGAAGAAAAAGTTCAAATGTTATGTGAAGGGATACAGTCGACAAGAACACTACGTGATTACACGTGGCATATGCAGAAAAACCCTCATCTATAAAGCCAAACCAAGAAATGCCAGCTGGGAGATCTTGAAGTGATTTTTTTTTTTTGATGAGCTAGAGCTGCTGTCAGATCTAGAGCTGACAGAGCTAGATCAATTTATGAATACTTACAGAGCTAGAGCTGCTGTCAGATCGGTGAAGCTTCTGCAGGAGAGTCTCGTGCTTCTTCTCCTTGTCCTCCTCCTTTTCTACTTTGTTGTATGATGATGCATGCTGATCGTGATGATCGGAGATCTTGACTTTCTCATCAAACTCAGCGACGTTCACCTGATCCCCTTGCTGATAAGGAGTTGGCTTCTCCGCCTCTTTCTTCCCCAAGAAATCAAACAACCCACGATCCTTGGTCTCGCCTGCACCCGATCCCTCCTCGTAATCCCCAGTCTTCCTCTCGTACTCGTGTTCATCGCTCTTCTTGTTGTACTCCTCCGCCATTCTTTTCTTAATATCAAATCACAACTTACTACTTAATGAATAATGATTTTGTAAAGAGAGCAGATGAAATATTGCTTTGATGTTCTTTGCTTATGCAGAGAGTGAGCTTTTTATAGCATCCAACCACACGCATATGACACGATTAAGTTAAAATATATTATATAAACGGGATGCGATATCCACACATTATTTTTTATTTTTCACATATTTCGTATTAATTTTTATTATTATATTCTTTAATTGATTTAATTAGATGATAAAAAATTTAAAAATATGTGAGAAATAAAAAAAAAATATGTAGATAACATATCGTTATATAAACTAATGCATTCATTAATAAAATAAATGTGAGTAGTGGCAAAACCTAATCCTACTTCTTTCAATATTCCATATTTCTTTTTGATAAGATACACCAAAAATGCTGTGCCATTCCCCTTCTTTCCAATTGTAACCGACCGACGTGGTACAAAGGAGATAGGAGAATTGGCATCCGCACAACTTTCCACTCGCCATGGATGGCCGACACGTGTCTGGATGGTTTATGTGCCAGTTAGGCGGGGCGAGTGTGCTCTCCCTGCTGGCAAAGCAAAGAATGGGAAGGAAATCAATCAAACAGTCGAAAGGCGAAAGAAGAAAGTAGAAAAGATGCGAAGGAGGAGAGCATGGACCAATAAGGGCCTGCAACGTGTAAGAAGAACGTGAAGGGATGCAATTGCGGGACCCCAGAGTGTCGGCTTTGTTTGGATGAATGCGAGAAGGTCGGTTTGATGGAGTGGCCCACGTGGCAGTCGTCGGAAAAAGAGAGGGGTTTTTCGAGATTTGCGACTGGTAGGTGCACGAGAACTAATCATGGTGGGCCATTTTAGTATTCACAGCGTGATGAACGGTTATCATCTTGCTACATGTTGGTGGGGTACAGAGTACAGAGGGCAAGCATTATTTTGTGGCCCTTGGTTTTTACCACTTGCCGCACTTCTCGAAATATCGCATCAGGGCGCCGTATCATTTTGGTTTAGTTAAGCCCAAAACTCAATCAATAGAATAGGATGAGGACCCCATCCGGATTCAAACGGTAGGGATTTTAGGGATTCTTATATTTTAATTGTTCATCGTATATTATGCGGTTAGTTTTCATTAAGTATTATTTATGTTTAATTTTAAATAATTTTTAATCGATAATATACGATAAACGGTTAGGACGTGAGAGTTCCCACCGTTTAGATCTGGATGGAATCCTCGTCCAATAGAATATAACTTAAGTACCAATTTTGGACGGTCTACACCTGACATTGCCACGTGTCCTATGCACGTGACTTGTACTCTTTGTCTAATATTTTTTTTTAACTTTAAGATGAATATGTAGTTTGATTTATTTGTACGTCTTAATAATTTGTTAAATTGCATATTTTTTAAAATTCAAATAACTACATAATTTTTCACTTTTAATCATGTTATTTCAAACATATTTTAATAATAAAAAAATTTACGTCCTTATTGTAACTTTAACATATTAGACCAACTCCAATGATGGGCTAAAAGCCAAATTACTCTCCAAAATTTCCCTCTAAACCCACTCCAACCCAAAGGGAAAATTGGGGCTAAATGCTAAATGCTAAACCAAGATCAAATTCTTCCCAAAATTTAGCCCAGAAATCAGAGTGGACTCCACTCAATATTTATCGGAATTTAAATTTTTTAAGATTAAAATATTTATAAAATTAATTTACGATAGTCTACATATTTATTTATTTTTTAAATTTAATTTAACCAAAAAAAATAGCCTAAGTTCATTCTTTAATAATCCCGGACTAAAATTTTAGGCTAGAACGGTTGGAGCATAAAAGTTGTTTCTGGGCTAAAAGCTAAATTTTTTGGGCTAAAATATTTGGCTTTTAACCCAACTATTGGAGATGGTCTTATTGAAAGAATAGAAATATGTAAATATTTTAAATATCAAAATTGAAAAAGTTGTCAAATTTTTCAAGATACTTTTAGTAAAATTGTCAAATGATATACGTACATATTTTTTCACATACCACATCGATACAATATCTTATTAACGCATAATAGAATAAAAATAGTGTTCAATATAAAGACATATCGACAAAACTAACGATGATGCACATATTAAAAGTTTATAGGAGCTTAGAAATGAAGGCTTTGAAAAGAATTTTATTTTTGAAAAGATAAGAGAAACTGAAAGTATCTGATTTATGGTGTTTACCAAATTGAAAATGCTATTAGTGAGCACTATCAAAACATATATAATGATAAAAGTATACAAGAATGGCAATCATTGCCCCCAACCATAGATCAAACTTGTATTTTGGGTTTTTTTTGCCTATTTTAGTCCCTGCGAACCAACCGACTGCACCGCCCATATTCCGCCATGTGTATTTCCGTTATACGTCCGAGGGCATTTTATCCAAGTTCAAGGAGAGATTTTTCAGTATGATCGGCACACGAAATGGTACAACACATGACACTATACAAATGATGAGATACGTGAGTTAAAAAGTTAATAGCTTAAAAAATAAAATTTTCCATCACTTACATAAAAATACTTGGTGTACTATCCGTGTTTTGATCACAATAAAAAATTTCTTAAGTCCAAGGACTTCAGATGAATCGATCATGAAGAAAACTTCCCTCTCTTAATCATTTGTCCTTAATCCTTTACAATATGGTAAGAGTGGGTAAGATTTAGAATATAGTGATTTTTAATTCAATCCAATCCAATTCCTAGCCACCAAGTTATGGTATGTTTAAGGTCAATCAAATTCGACCATTTCTGTCATCCATCCTTTATGGTATGTATATAGTCCATGGAGGTTGGAAACAAACAATAGAGCAAAAATATATGTAAACACAAACAGCCACACAAAAAGCATACCGCAAACTGAATGAAGAAAAATCATACTTCTTCAACTAAATTTATGAGTGAGAGAGGATGAAGAATAAATAACTCCCAATCACTTTTGCACTTCCAAGGACAGAATTAAGCAACAACTAAACAAGGCTGAAATAAACACTACCTGACCAAATGAGTTCAGTTCAGTTCAGCTGACAATGGATTCCATCCAGCTGCTCAAATCAATGATCCAATCAACTGCAATCCATCCATTATGCACAACCCAAACCCAGGATTCTTCATACTTGAACTCCTCCGTCTAAGTTGGGTTTTGATTTTGCTGTCTTAATGTAGCTTAATAGAGATTCCCCAACACCACTTAATCCTTTCCTCCCAACCAACCTCACCCCAAATTCCACATTTATCATTCTCATCTTGTTCCCATCACCCTCTACCTCACTCAACTTCATCGCCTGATTCCTCGAAATCAAGCCATACAGACAAAGAGAGAGACGTGATCCCACCTCCATATTTCCCACTCCAAATTTCACCCTCAACAGCGAGTTGGCAGAATCAAACTCATCTGACCGAGGATCAAACAAAACGGAGAAGCTCCCACATCTTACGTCAGGGGTGTCAAATAACTTATTCAAATCGTCCATTTCATCACCAATATTACTTGGTTTTTCCAACGGGATAATTGTCCGCTTTTTGGCTACTCTCAGTATGTTAGCAGCCTCTCTCATCCCACTCAGAAAAGCTCCGTGCATTGTTGCCGGATACTGCTTGTTAGTGGCCTCCCCAGCAAAGAATACTCTCCCATCCCCAATACTCTCTGCCAGAATATCATAATCATCTCCTGAAGAACCTACTGCAACGTAAGAATACGAACCGTATGCAAAGTCGTCCTTCCCCCACCGAGTGCACACTGCCTGAATAGGTTCTGGAACAGCAATCCCTTTCGGGTTGAAAATACCCCTTAATATGTCCAACACCCTATTCACAGACTCAACAGGAGACATCAACTCAAACTTAATTGCAGCATCTCCAGCCACAAGAGCAACCAGAAGAGGCCCTCCTGATACAGAAGAGTAGCTATAAAACAGAAAGAACTCGCCTCTCATTCTCGGATCCTCAGTCAAATGCCCAAAAGTATCAATATCTCCACCCCAGAAGTTATAAGGGAACAATATGGCAACCTTATTCAGTAATCCAAATCCTATACTCTGAATTGCATCCTTCTTCCTTTGTGGAAGCTGAGGGACAAATTCAATGGAACCCTTCTTAAGCACGCCTAATGGGACTGTGCAAAGAACCATGTCCCCACGAAACTCCTGCCCGTTTGCATAAACCAAAACCCCATCAGAACCGTACCGAATACTCTGCACAGTCCTTTCATAGAAGATTGGAAGGCCCTCTGCAAGGGACCGCACAAAAGTCTCATTGCCTCCCGGGATAAAACAATGGTCACCTCCCATCTCATAGGGATCATCCTGATCCCAATAGGCCATGGACAAATTGGACATCAAGGAAGCATTAGCATATTCCAAATTAGCAAGATGCCAGTCCAAGAGCATTCTCTCCTGCGGGTCTCGTGCAACACTATAAACGCGTCGAAAAGCTTCCAACGCAGTGCCTAATGGAACATCTACGGACTTAACTTCTTCAATCATTGCGTGCCTAAGCTTACAAACTCTATCTAACAACTTATTGAAAGAAGCCTCTATACTAGAATCCATCTCAGAATTCACAGTTTTCCCATCTGGTAAATAAAGCGGGCAAATATCCCTCACCTTATGAAGAGGCAAACCCAGTTGCCTAGCTAAAACTCCGAGCGGGTTTCCATTGATTCCGGTGAGAACACTTCCCCCGAGATCCGCCGCAGCCTCCACTCCCTCGCGCTCGCCCACCATCTTCCTCGTCTTCACGCGACCACCAGGCCTGCTTCTACCTTCCAAGACCACAACTTTGAAGCCCAAAAACACCAATTGCCTCGCCGCCACCAAACCCGCCAAGCCAGCCCCCACAATGACCACATTGCCCCTCTCGGCCCCGTCAAACGACCTCAATTTTGCATCTTTCACCGCCGGTGCAAGCCCGAAGTTGATGTAGCCGTGCTCCACCAGAAAGTCGTAAGCTGAGTCGACCAGGGCTTTGTGCTCCGAGCGAATCGACTCCAGCGCCAGCTCCCGGGTTAACCAGAAAGACACATTTGACCTCCACCGAGACAGAATGTGGTTCCTCACGACGATATAGTTGGCTTGCTCAACGCCGCCGATGGTGGGGACCACGTTGGCCTCGATTTCCTCCTCAGTGAGTGAGTCGACCGGAAACCCCACTGAGATTGCGATTAGGGCTTCGACGTCTACGTCTTTGTTAAGGTCGGTGCGGCGGTTCTTGGCCAACGATGGAGAGCCATTGAGCTCCGTGAAGAACTTCTTCCTGCGACGGCGTCTCTTCGCTGGCAGACCGGGTTCAGCTGGGCCCGGTTCGATAGGGTTTTGGAGGTGCTGTTGATCGAGAAGGGTGTCTTCGCCTTCGAGAATGGGCTCGGATGAGTCATCTTGAGAGTCCGAAACGGGGGCTTCGAGAGTCGTTTGGGGAGGTGCCGACGGGTTTTCCGACGAGTGGTTTTCGTGAGGGGTCGAGCTTGAGGGAGTTAGGTCGGTTTCCGGCGACGAGTCATCGAAGACGACGTCGTTAGGGGGATTATCGGAGGGGTTTTGGGGGTTGTCCGTTGTTTCCATGTGGGAATGTCATTCATTCGGCTCCACTGCAAATGTGGACTGTCTTTTAACTCGAACCGAATTTTAGGGCTTTCGGATTCAAAAAAAGTTCCATATCAAAAAGAGTTGTGGGGCTTTGGAACTTAAGAAGGCCCAGCTTTACCCCAAACACAAGAGAAATGGGCCGGGTGAAAAGCCCGCCTTAAGTTTAACTTTTTGTTTTTTTTTTTCTTCCGCCAAAAGTCATCATAAATAAGGATTTGATTACAATACTTACTGAGAAAGTCATGATCACAAGATTTGAAATTACCTCCCTCTCTAGTAGATTTGATGCTTGGTAGTTGATTGTTCAAGTATCATGGTAGCGATTTTAATGTATGACACTTATTTTAGGAGTATGTGTAAGTAAAAGATTGTGCGACACATTTAACGAGTGATACAATTACTTGTATATTAATTCATGGTAAATAAACAGTAGTAAGTATTGTGAATTTTATTTTATCAAATTTACCTAAACTTGTATACTGGTTTTGATTATTATTTATTTATTTATTTAATATTTGTAGAAGGGTATTAAAATTTTTCCATAACAAGTTTCACTTCTCAAGCTTCCAAAAATGCTTCAAGTAAAATTTAAACAACCAAGTTATGTTTGCATGTACTTAGAATGAAATTAGCGTTATTCGAGTTGATTAAGTGAGTGAGATTGGATATAAGGATACCATAACACTACATACGTGACCCAAAAGAGTAGAAGAATCAAAGTTATTATATGACATACAATGCATAACAAACGTATATTCTCTAAAATATAAACCAATCTGTTGTAACATGAACTACAGTAGTGAAGCACAGTAAACCATTATCCCGACAATGAGTCAAGATACAAAACTTGAAATACTTGATAATAATTTCATAAGCTATTACTTTCCTTGCCCATCCTTCTACGAATAAAGGTGTTATTGATTGTCATACTCTCTTTAGGCCCAAGCACGACTCCTTGCCGTTGACGGTCCATGATGGAAGGGCTTTAGCTTAGTCTTGTTTATTTGCTTCATTTTTTATATACGGTCAACACAATTTCATGACCGCCAAATTATATGGTTGGAATCAGTTTGTTTAATCGCAATGGTAAATCACCCACCGGGCGATCGAGTGACACAAGTCAAAGTGCTCTTTTTATAAAGATTTTTGGGCTGGTGGTTCAAACTTTCGAATGAGATCGAAGAAGATTGAAGATGAGATTTATGCAGAGTGAAATGTTGTGTTTGAGAAAAAAAAAATGATGCGAGAGATAAAATAGAGGACATGTATGTATGGGAAAAGGAAAGAATATCATAGTTGCGAGAAAAAGTATAAGTTGATGAAACAAGAAAAGCATCCACTTGACAAAAATAGGATATGCTTAGGGTTTTAAGCTTTCAAAATTGTTTGATGTGGTGGTATATTTAGGTGAAGGTTGATGCATGCTTTTGCCCAACGAAATGGACCAATGCCACATGTAAATGTCTAAATTTGTACCAAAAATATTCGAGGGTGTCAATTTGGTTCAGTTGAACCAAACATTTTGATATCTAAACCGCAACCAAATCTATTAATGTTAATTCATTATGGTTTACCATTAGTATATTGGAAAAAAATTAGAATAAATAGCTGGTTCAATCGATTTTTGTTAGAAAAAACCCGACATACCAAATTGTACGATAAAACCATGCTATTTGAGCAACTCACATAGGGATTTGGATACCATACGGATCCAAATTGTGGGAATCATAGGAATTCTTATATTTTAGTCATTTATCGTGTATTGTGCGGTCATAAATCATTTGAATTTTTTTATTTAAAATTAAACACAAATAATACGTGACAAAAACTAACCGCCCAATGTGTGATGAACAACTAGGATGTGGGGATCCCTAGGATCCCCACAAAGTGTATCTGCAGATGATCTTTTTCCCTCACAAAAATCAATTTTAAGGTTGAAACGATTTTTTAATGTGCTGGTAACACGATTAAATATATCAAATGTTATAATACAAGTAATTAAATATTAAAAAAATAATTTTAATTATTTATATTCATACCACATTGAAAAATTTCTCTTAAAGTTAGTCTTTTTTTTTATTGTATTTTACTTTTTATGAAAATCTTTAAATATATATATATTTTTTTTTTGGGAAAAAAAATCTTTAAATTAATTGAATTTAGAGAAGGGCAAGAAAATAAGGGTAGAAGAAGAAGGAGAGAGGGCTAAAGTTGCAGGGTGGATCGGGAAGACGTAACGAAAACCAGCAAATACTCGTCGTTTCGTCGTTCGAATCCATTGTTGCAGTTGCAGAGGACCTCGTAGGAGAGCTCCTGTAAATATAATAAGAGAGATTCATACAAAGCAAAGGCAAAGAGATGATAACGCGATCGAATCTGGCGGAGCAGTTGAGAGAGTATCAGATTCGATCGAAGCATGACTGGGCCTCCGTCTCCTTCTTCTCCTCCACCTCCTCCACTCATACTTTGTCAAGGTTTCAACCCACTCCCTTCCACTTTTCCACGATTTCTGTTTAATTTCTCCATTAATCTTTTATTTATATTATCTTTGCTTTTTGATTATGCGATCTATATGCTGAACAATTTGGGAGAAACATTAAATTTTGCTCTACTTTAGATTTGATAATTGCTAATTATTTAAATTGGGGGTTTTAATCACAACTTTAGGCTTTAGCTTCGACTCGAGGCCTAATTCCTGTCGTTTGAGCTCGATTTAATCAATACTTCAATGGAGGAAGGGGTACAATGTCATAATTCTAAATAAAAGGGAAAACAAAATGGTGATGAAAATATATGCGTTGCTATGGTGATTTTTTCTTTAAATTTGGGAGTGGCTGGATTCCTATAGATGCTTAGGTGCTCAGATTGTCGATTCATCTCAGGGAGTGATGTAGGATAAAGAGGTCCGGTTCTGGACCTTCCGGCCTTCCGCCAGAGAGACTCAAAGACTATGAACATGCAGACACATGTTTAAACTCCATTTATTTCTCAAGAAACTAGAAAGAATCTCAATTCATCACCGTATGAACTTGGCTTCTGCATCAGCGAGGAACTTTACACAGATTGTTGTTATGCGTTCTCTGTCCGAACATGGAAATGCATTCTAGTGAATAAACTTCCCATAAATAGCAGGTTTTAAGGAGAAGCAAGAGAGAATGAAAAATGAAATGATTTTCTCGATATGATTGAATAATGATTACAGAGAGGTTTAAATGGGTTTGGACATACAAGCTAACACTTGTCCCGCTCAGTTAACAATATCTAACTAGCTAATTGTATTGACTGAAACTAAACTATAACGATTAATTAACTAACTGCTAACAATCGTTGATTTTGCTGATCATCAGAAGATTCAGTTTGTGAAGAAGATGATGTGTCATTAGGGTTATCTTGGATAGTGATTGCATTTAGGTGCATGCTGCTTTTATGTTGTCTTTGATTCTCCTGATGTTCTCTAGTCTTTTGCACATAATGAACTTGGTTAGAACTTACCCTTTTTGATAAATGTAGAAGTATTGTGGTTGTGCATATTTCTCATACCGATATGTCTGAGACGTTACTATTGATGCTAATTTCCTTCTTCTCAACTTATGGATGCAGGGTGGATGTAGTGCTCTTTGTAATATGGGAACTGGTAATCCTAGCTTTCTTGGTTTTTTCGGCAGTTTCTTTATATTTTAGGCATATGCGACTTGCTTTTGTCTTAGCATGTATTGCAATGCTCTTGCTTTTGTGCATAAAAGTTACAAAGCAAGTGAGATTGGCTAGGAAAAAGAAACGGAGGATGCTTCTTCCATTATCTATGTAATACTAGATGAGGGGCACGCACTACCCAACCTTATCGTGTAAATCTTGAAGAGTCTTGGCCATTGCATTTGGCCTGTATCCTCTTTTTTGGTGTATTGGGATGTGTAATCATTGCCTTCGAACATTAGGTGAAAAACTGATGTGATTGCTGTGGAAGATGCTCATCAGAGTGGCAAGTTGATCGATCAAGATATGAAGATTTGGTTAGTGAGGGGAGGAAAGGTTAGTTGACCATACGGTTTCTTCTGTTACTACCGAGAATATTTTGTTTTTACCAATGATATAGTGATGATGTTTGCATTACTTATCAACAATACAATGACATAAGAAACCAATGAATGACATTTCAGATGCATATACCCAAAGTGTTATTTTAGTGTTTGGATATGCAGCGTGAAGTACACAATTATTTTAGATGTCAGAACACTTGTTAATATTGTTGCTTCCTTCTTTAAGATCACCGTTGTGTATGTTCCCTTATAAGCCAGTGGTTATAGGACCAGGACGAAGTGAAAGAGTCATCGGTTGATGGTTAAGGTCGAGAGTGGGAGGCTCCTTGGTGGTGTTGTTGCCTCGGTTATTTTTCAGGCTTGAAGAAGTGGACTTCTATTCCGATCGTGACTATATTCCAAATTGCTCCGGTGATGATTAATATGCTTAGGACTATCCCCAAGGCTCCGAGTACCCAGTTAAAAATTGTGCTACATTTACAAGGTTTCTTGATCAATATCCACATGAAACACGGATACGCCAAGGTGATTGGAACCGCAACTCCTCCGATGAGTCCTGCTAAGCTGGGCAAGAATGGTAGTGCAACAGATATAAAAAATGCAACGCAGCCATAGAAAATCCTAAATCCGGAGCGTAGCCACCGCGGACAAGGTTTGTTCATGCTGCTAGTGAATCTGAATTCCAGATTGTCGAAAACCGGCATTGCATATATTTGAAAGGAGCTTAGACTGTTAACCACAATAAGCATGCTCGTCAATCCTAGGACAAATTTTGATGTGTCGTGTCCGTGGTATTTGTTCAAAGCACCTAACATCCCTCCACTTGAAGGTATCTGCCATACATAGATACAATCGCAGTACACTTCTATACGTAAGTACGACCTTCAATAAACCAAATAAATCCGGGCAGAAAAACATGCGCTAATTTCAATTTAGTCAAAAGATGTTTTGAATGGTAAGACAATGAACAAAATGTCGTGTTCTTACGAAATTTCCGTAAGCCCAGTAGCCGCCAATTGCCAGGGGAAACAAACACAGTGCGATGATGAGATATGCGAACTTCACTCCCTTCCACATCGGCAAACGCGAAGGCCTCTTACCGTTCGAGGGCATGGTTCCCTGCGAATATAACCATATGATGAATGTGATTATTTTTCAATTGAATAAAATATTTTGGATATATTGACAAATAGGAAGCTTTTAAGGGAGGGATTCCATTTAAAAAAAAAATAAGGACATCCTCTTAACCATTAGATTTGGCTTTAATGAAATTCTGTGGTTGAGATTCTGTGGTCTGTGATTTAATCTCAACCACAGAATTTCATTAAAATTAAATTTAATGATTAAGAGGGTGTTCTCATTTTTTTTTTTGAAAAAGGAAGATCTCTTCCCTTAAAGAGCTTGTTGACAACTATATCAATTATATTCACGGTTTCGACCACATGCACGTGGAGAAACTTCGTGTGTATATACATAGCCTTTTTAATTATTGGCTCATTTGAAACTACTTTTAAAGTGATTAAAAGTACTTTTAGAAAATATTTTTTTATTTAAAAAGTATTTGAAGTACTTGTATATCTTTTTCCTAATGCTTATTCCAGGAAGCATTTCAAGTATTTTTTTAAGATTTACTTGCTTTTTAACTAAAAATTGGTTTTAAAATATTTTTGATCAATTTAAAAGCACTTCCAAACGAGCCTGGTTACATACCTGTATTTCAAGCACAAGGTTGTGGCCTCTAAAAGCAAAGATAGTGATCCCAAGCGCATTTAGGACGCCAAAAACGGTGGCTGCATCAGATTTTGTTTCCAGCGGCTTATAAGAAACACCGTTGGGTCTATCTTTGGTGACAGAAACCACCCAAATGAGTGTGCAGTAGCTTACGGCGGTGATAGCTCCAATGAGGGAAATTCCAGCTATTGAGTTGAGGTTAGGAAGCTGAGCGAGAAGAATGGCAGTGCCGGTGAACACCAAGTAGCACTCTATCGTTGACAGTGGACTTACATGGCGGCATGTCTCACCGCACACGATTTGGAAAAATATTTTCATTGTCCCACCTCCGATCATGATCAGGGTTACACACGTACCACCTGAGAGGTACATGATTGGAAACAATGCCAGAATTTTCCCTAGCTTCTCACCTGCAACGAATACATAAAAACAAAATAATAATAATAAAAAGGAAACGTTTTGCGATTAATATTAAGAGAGAATCAGTTTACACACTCTAGCTTAATTACAGATTTTTGAACAATTATTGAACCACTATTTGATTGGTATCTTTTTTAGGACGTTGCGAGAACCACTATTTTGTAGTAGCGAGTGTTCGATCAGTTAATATATCAATATATGTATGTGTGTATATGTATATATATTATGCATGGTTAATTACCAAAAGCTGCCATGGAAAGTCGAAGGTATCTGCTGTAGCGCACTCCCGATTCGGATTCGTGCAGTTGTATCAGTAACCAGAGAGTATAGAGCTGCCACATGAAAGCCACCGAGAGACATATAATTCCCCATGCCCTGCAATACATGCACATATACACATGCAGTTAAATTAGTTAAGCAAATGAACAACCAACAAATTAATTACATATTAAGGATCATTTTGGTCTATGCATATTAATAATACGTAAATAATTATAAATATCATAATTTAGAGAGAGCCAATTAATTAATTAATTAATTAATTGAACTTACCAGCCAAGAGTAGCGAAAGATAAAGGAAGAAGGAGGGCTGGAATGCCTATTCCGGAACTGAGCGTGTGAAAGGCGGAGTAGAGGGCATTTCCGTTTCTGGACTCGGTGATGGGCAGCCATGCGTCCTGAGGATCAAGCTTTGTCAAGTGTCCAACTTCTTCTAGGTAGCCTCGCATGCTTGTCATCGCCTTCTTCATCGGACTCGCCAAAGGAGTCGCCACAAAACGAGAAACGAACGGACTTTTAGGGGTCATGTTTGGATTACTCATTGGGCTCGACTTCACTTCCTCCACCTCATCCATCTGATCCTGCATGTTCTGATTCGGAGGGTTCCTCTTTACTGTATATACCAAATATATATTTTGCTGAATATATATAGCTAGAGAACTGAGACGCCGACAAAAGTAAGTTAGATGTGGCTAGGGACTTGGGAGGTGGTTTCTGATCATTTCTTTTTGGAGTAAAAAAGGTGGGGTGGGGCCATGGGATCAGTGGATCATGATTCATGCATGGACTGAGACGATGATGAACATATGATTTATTTCCCTTTTTAATGTGATCTTTAGTATTGTATAAAATTTATATATATTTGAAATTATTTATCTTTTTATGTTGTACCTATATTGAGCATCAGTATTTGTGCCTTGTTACTTAGTTCATGATTTACGTAGGAGATAAGGAAACCCTTAATCTATAAAAATGATCCTTCACCCTCATTTTGGAGATGACAAATCCTAGTCTGTCTAGCAACAAGCCTCTATGTATAATATAACCCGCATCTTACATAATGAAATCTGAATCTGCACTAATATGAATGTAGCACTACTTGAGGTGAACCACGATATATATTCGTGTTCTAATGCGTATATGTGATTTACGATCAAATTCAGTTGGTCTAAAATAGACCATTTTATTATCAAATATAGAGATCATCTCTTTAAAAAGTTTATTTGAAGTTTAGAAGAGAAGAAAGACTTTGAGTGAAATTAATGGGAAGGTAGGAGGAAAATGAATCCATAATTTACGCGAGTGAAATTAAGCTTTGGTACTTGTGAGGATTGAGGACCAATTAAGGCAAAGGTGGGAAATATGTTTAATTCAAAGTTCAAACTGGAATCTTTTGACTGAGTTGGCTTGGCTGCTTTGCATGTTATTTGTACTTTCGTTGTAAAAAGACTTCGGAAAGGAGAATGCATTCGTGGTTGACCAACACTTTTTCTTTTAGCTAGAGCCTTGTCCGTATGCTAGCTAGCATACCACAACCACTTTGCCAATTGCAGAGTGCCACTATTCTCACCAAAAGGATTAGGAAGAGGATCTTAGGAATTCGTGAATTATGTTTATTCATCATACATTGTGTGGTTAATTTTTATCAGGTATTGTTTGTATTTAATTTTAAATAAAAATATTTAAAATGATTTCTAGCCACACGATGTATGATGAATATACACGATTCACGAATTCTCGAGATCCTTACAAAGAGGATCCGGATTCCATGATCCATGGCAATTGGCATGGACATCATCCATCACTCTCTGTAAATTTACTTCATTAATCTTAAATTCTGTAGTGCTAACACTGCACACTCACAAAGAAGCAAGTCTTGCAGAAAAGATGAATTAGTGTTATATATATATGTATGTATGTATGTATGGTATATGTATATGTATATGCATTGCAACCTTAATGCAGCTAATAGCACGTAGGGACCGTAGTGAAATACTTAACTGAGCGAACCTTGAGATTGGATTCATCATTAGTCAAAAATTGCTTTTATTGGATATCAAATCAATCCTGTTCGTTAATTTACTATAAATTGTAATGAATTGGGTCCATATGCATTATGCATAATGGGAACTCCACTCTCCACACCACATAATATGACATAACCTTTATTCATTCTTCAAAGGCGACACTTCTTTTCAGCAGCAAATGACATATAGAGGCATGCATGCGTGCATATAACAGGGCCGGTTTGGCTATACATATCTGTTCATTCATTCCCTTGTGAAGTTTCTTCGAAGCCCTCCTCGTTTGCCTATCATTGGCTATCACTAGATGCTTAAAGGAAGCCTAAAGCGACTTCTCATCTTTATATTCTTACCCTCTTTAATTTTGGCTGTTGTTTTCATTTGTTGTATTCAATCTCAAAAATAAAAACAAATGACCAAAAAGTTGTGAAAATCACTTTGCAAAAATGCCTTAAGCTATGACATGACCTAAAGAAGAGAGGTGTATTTGCTTGATACATGGACATGGTGGTATCCCCTCGTATCCCCGTGTCGTATTCTTTGGTAGTCATCCAACAATTATTCTTCTTAATTGACGTATTCCGTGTCATGTCGTATCTCTGTATCCGTATCCGTGTTCATACAACGTAGATTTGCTTCTACTATTATTCAGATGGGGATTGATTTCATATGGTTTTCCCTTTTTGTCATTTGTAGTGACTTTGTTCAATTTCTGTGTATTTGCTTAACAATTCCCCCACAACCACACACAATCATTCGGAGGCTATGATTGTAATCATCAATATAAACACCTAATCTGGGGAGAGACGGTTGTTTGAATTGGAAGGATTGGAGTTTGCAGGTTACCTTTGAACCCTATGCTTACGGCAATTTCAATGTGTTTCTGTCTTGATGTTTTCGGAAGAAATGAAAAACGATTTATTGAGTGTCAAAGAACATACATACATACATACATACATATCTGAAATACGTACGTTCCCAATACTATTGAGGCTTAAAAAAGCTCACTTGAATCCCGGTGTCAATGACAACATAAACTCCAGCAGCTATGAGTATTATACAGAGAGCTGTGCCCAAAAGTCCGAGTCCCCAATTGAGGCACCACATAATGCTATATTTCTTGGGCTTCTTAATTTTCAACCAAAGCAAGGAAGGATAGACAAAGGTAATCGGGATGGAAATCCCTCCTATGAGACCGGCAAAGCTTCCCAAGAATGGAATCGCCACTGCTACGAAGAAGCAGCCGTACCCGAACATGGCTCGGGATATCGAGCGGAGCCACCACGGGCACGGCTTGTTCATGCGTTTGATGTATTTGGATTCCATATCGTCAAACATGGGCATGCCAAAGATTTGGAATGAGCTAACCGCATTGATTACCACAAATAAGCTCGTTAATGACAGAACCCACTGTGAAGTGTCACGTCCATGGTACTGATATATTGCAGTTAGCATCCCTCCATTTGGCGGTATCTGTTTCCAAAAACAAAACAAAAAAAATGCTAAAAACGATTAGTCAATGTTCATTCGACATTGTCGTACGTATTCAAATAAAAATAGCTTTATATCCTCCAATCTGCAAGATGGAAATTGTTACTGATATTTAGCACTTCAAAATAGTTGTTAGGCAGTATATAATATCAGGCCCTTTATATAAAGGGATTTCTATTTTTTTTTTCAAAAAATGGGGATTAAGTGTGGGGCTCACTCCGCATCGAACTTCAGCGATCTGAACTATTTATTTTGTAAGTCTCGATTCTTAGATCATTTTTGCAAAAATTCAATTCAATCTGAAACTATTTGCTTATTTAATTATCAAGATAAAATTTCATTGTTTCTTATATAACAAAGTATTCGTTAATTTCTTTAAACCTAATTAGATGTATTAAACATTTCCGATTTGACTAATATTTTGTAAGGATGATATATGAGGTGCAACTTGAAAAATAGACAGTTCAAATCGTTAAAGTTCGATGTACGTAGTGTAAACCCTACAACTAATCCTTATTTTTACATAAAAAAAATAGGAATCCCTTTTCTAAAAGATTCTATATAATATTATACATAATAACTTATTCAAAGTGCGGATAGCAACTCTCATAAATTTATAAATTTACAAATGTTACCATGTGTCCGTAGGCCCAATATCCTCCAATTGCTAAGGGAAACAAGCACATTGCGACCATTAGATAGGCAACTTTTACCCCTCTCCACATTGGCACATGAGATGGTTTCTTCTCACTTGAAGGCATAGTTGCCTGCATAGCAAAGAAAACATGTAGTTTTGGACCAACTTATTAATTTCTCAAAAGCAGAGGCGTTCGATTGCTATATATCTTGTTAATTACCTGAATTTCAAGGATAAGATTGTGGCCTTTGAAAGCGAAAGCAATAATGCCAAGAGAATTGAGGACACTGAAAATCATAGCGGTGTTGCTGTTTTCTCTTTTTGGATCGTAAGAAACGCCGTCCAGCCTGCCCTCCGTGACCGCGACGAGCCACATAATGGTACAATAGCCAATGGCAGTGATGGCACCAATCAGAGAGACACCTGCAATGGAGTTCAAATTGGGGAGCTGAGACAGAAGAACGGCGGCGCTGGTAAAGACCAAATACCACTCGACGGTGGTGAGTGGCTTGGCGGTGCATTCGTGGCCACACACGATTTCGAAGAAGAGCTTCATGCTGGAGCCGCCAACGATAATCAAGGCGACACAGGTGCCGCCCGAAAGGTAATAGATGGGGAAGATAGCGAAGATCTTGGCCATTTTGTCACCGAAGGTAGCGCGGAAGAGTTGAAGATATCTGCTGTAACGCATCCCAGTTTCAGTGGATTCATGAAGCATTACCAAAAGCCATAGGGTGTATAGCTGCCATATGAACGCCACTGTCAAGCATATGGTCCCCCATGTCCTGCATGCATGATCAAAATCCACTTATTAGAAACTTTTCAGTACGATCCTCGCACTACTGCTACCTGCATGATATCATCAATCGATCCGCTGATGTTATAATTTGTGAATTTTGTTGATTAGTATTATATATTAAGTTCATGAAATATAAACCTTGTCGTTCAATATTGATATTAGAACGTGGATTAGTAACATAAGATTAGTGTGACGGTTGTACTCAAAAACTTTATACGTGGTAGGCAGGTACGTAAAGGTGAAATTACCAGCCAAGAACGGTGAAGGAGACGGGGAGCACAAGGGCTTGCATTCCAATTCCAGAGCAAAGGGTATGGAAGGCAGCATAGTAGGCATTGCCATTCCTTGACTCGGTGATGGGGAGCCAAGCGTCCTGAGGGTCGAGCTTGGTAAGTCGGATGGCCCTTCGAATGGGGCTACCAAGAGGTGTGAGGAAGTTGGGAGTGCGAGACATCCATGGGGTAGCTCTACGGGCAGCAACGTTTGAAGGCACTATAGAGAGCAGAAGGGGCTTTTTTGACATGGATGGCGAACTAAATGCACTGCCCTCTCCCTGTCCCTGTCCCTCTGAGGATGATGACTGCATTGGAGGTGCCTGCGCCGCGACCGCACTATCATGACCATCAACATGATGATCATGGTGTTCCCCTTGATCTTCATCCACGCGGAATATTTGATCATCGGAGGGGGCGTCGATTGTAGTGGAAATGTCTTCGACTGTAAATTCATCACTAGCACTCATCTTTCTTGGATTCTGATATTCCTCCATCTAGTTCGATACACAAGCCAAATGCTATAGCTTGATTATATAGGGTACCGAATCAACTGATGGATCCAAGTCTTTTCTTGCATATATGCTAATTAGTAAAGTGGGGGAGTTGATGGTGATGGTGATGTTCATTAATTGGTGGTTGTGGGTCGACAACTGCTTTTGACCGGCTCCTGCTTTTTCTGGGATCAACACCCACAACGATTTGACATTGACTATTATGCATGCCTTGATCAATTATTTCCTCAAAGGGTATCCTTTCCATCTTTCTAGTTAGCTAATCATGCAATGTTTATTTTAATTCTCGAGTTAAGTGTATATGTGAGGAAGGTCGTTTCCGGTAGACTTGGACTGGGTTGCGGTTTTCAGAGAGTCCCGCTGCAATACTTAATTTAATCACTAATTACCAATCGGATTAACACCGAATCTATACGATAATTCTCACAAGGTCAGACTGTTATTCTCGGAGCGCCTCAATTAATTGGTAGACCAAGAAGCTCACAGTCATCGTGAGTGGACGTCTTATGTAGTTATTTTCCTTGTAACTTCCTCGATGGAATTTTCTCCTTTTTTTTTTTTGACAAAAATTTGCACTAAATTACAGATGAGAATTCAGCGTCCTTCCAGAAAGTTTGAAAATGGGGGCAATTAACAAATTGATGTGATTTCTCCCCCCTTCTGGGATTAGAAAAATGCGTTTGAAATTGTAGGCACTACCATTATTATTTGTAGCTATTTTGTTTATGAATGGGGACTGATTGACACAAAGGGATTCGGTTGCAAGATTTTCAAACAAACGCGTTCATATATTTATATGCATAATGTGCATAATGCATGCCTTCTAGTAGATAAGACTCGGTATATTTACTTATTTAATTAGAGCATCTTCACTAAAACGTTTCAAGTTTGATATTTATATCTTATTTTATATTTCGAGAGATGTATATTTTAGCTTTATTCCAACGTGATAAATGTAAATTTTGTATTTCATTTATTTTTCCTTTTGAGTCTAGCAATATTCACCTCCAAAAGATGCAAAATGCCAATTCCAAAGCATTTTCCATCTCCCATAATAGATGCCACAATGATCATCCAAATTCTCTTGCAATCTGGATGAGATCCTTCCAGAGAATCTTGCCAGATGGATTCTTAGGCACGGAATCCATAAATGCCATCCTCCTAAGGGCTGATTTGGTATTGATGTGTTTTGAAAAAAAACTATTTCTGGTGTGCTGTGAAAATAAGCTGCAGAGTGTTTGGTAGACTTTTTTGTAAAAGTGTTTTTGAAAAAAAAAAAACAGTACTATATTGTTTAATAAACTTTTATGTAAAACAAATGTGAAAAAAAATTGATTTTTCAAAGTTGGGTTTTGCAGTTTTGCGTTTTTGGTTTTTTTTCATCCAAAACTGTGAAAAAAAACTGAAACTGAATGTTTACCAAACATAAAATCACTTTTTTCAGAATCACTTCAGTACCAAATTAGGACTAATTCTCTTGTAGGGAGCCATCTGCTTGCCCACAAACTTCATCACTCCGCTCTCGTTAAACTGCTTCCGGCTTTTCTTACCATATATGCCATTGGATACTGTCCAACCTTTTCATCTGGAAATCTGCCAACAACAACACTTACATACATGTATGCATTGATCATCAAGTACTGGAAAAGTATTACTTTGACATAAAAATGGAAAGCTAAGAAAGGAAGAGTCTTCCACCAAAACCATTAAATCAAGTAATTCAAGCTTTTAAAATTTCATAGAAAAAAATTATTAATTTATTATAATTTTTAAGAAATAAAAAAAAAATTGATCGTTAGATGAAATTTTATAAATTCATATCACTTGATTTGATAATATAACTGGAGAGAATCTCTGGACAACTTACGGTATAACGGCAGCATCAACAATTTCGGGATGCGTGAGCAGCAAAGCCTCCAGTTCAGCAGGGGGCACCTAAATCATTGACAAAGTAATATTTTTTTATCAAATTACAACGTGCTTGTCGTTGATGCCTTTTTGTTTACTTTTCTTCCGATAAATAAATTCATAACATATTTTCATACTATTTTAGATGGTATTTAATGTGGGTAATTAAATTATTTGAATTAATCAGATTTTTAAATTTAATTTATTATTTAATAAATTAATAATTAAAAAAATAGTTAATTAAATGATAATTGTGTTATACGAAAAGTCCTTCTCCTTCATTTCCTTAGATTTTGCAAATTTTTCAAATAATGTGGTTGTCCACATCAGATGTCATCTAAGATAAGATAGAAATATAGTATAAAAATATAGTATGAATAACATTATTCATTTATTTATATTAGTGTTCCATTATTATGGGTAATGGAATGTACGCAGTCAATCTGGCTAAAGAAAATTGGAAAGGCAAAATGTCATAAAATAGTGGGACGCATGTTTTCCCACTCAAACAGTTTTGCGTGAGGGCACTCTAATTAACTCAATTAAAAAAAAAACAATTAAAATAAGAGAATTTTAACAAAAAAAACTCTCAGTACTATTTATTTTAACGAAAAATCACATTTTTACACTAAAAAGTCAATCCTGGTATTATTCACTTTACCCTTTATTTTGTCCTTATCATTAAAACTCAAAATTTTGAATTTTTTTTATCATTAAAACTCAAAATTTTGAATTTTTTTATATTAATTTTCCTTTAAAACAACGTTTTATACCTCTCTCATCTCGTCTTTTCTTTGAAAGTTGAAACTCAGAATTCTTCTCAAAATTCCAGTCGTCCGTTTACCAAGAATTAATGCATTTTATTTTTCACACTTTAATATCAACAACATTACAATCTCATATGATGACTGGAATTTTTGAAGATATAAATTTATGGAGAATTTTGAAACAGGAATTGTGTTTTTTGAGAGAAATGTTAGCAAACTAACAATTACGGGAGAGAAAAAGATGAGCATGGACGAATATTTAGAGCTTATTTGGTATTTTATTTGAATTCAAGATTTTTAACTCCAAAACTGTTTCTCAATTTACAACTCAAAAACTTGTTTGGTAAGCTAATTTTGCAAAACTTGAACTAAAAAATAACTCAAAAACTAGCCTAAAATCTGAGAACAACAAAAGTATGTTTTTACTGTTTTTTTTTTCTCCTTCATGACACCTACAAGACCTTGGAGTTGAGACCAGCGACACTAAACATCAATTGAGAGTAAATGTTTCCAGCGACCGAGATATTTTCTTCTCACCATCCCTGACCCACTGTCCTCTCACTCTAATCACCTGCAAGCCCCAACCTTATCTCTCCACCATTACCAAAGCTTTATTTCAAACTCAATTTGCTCAATTTCAATGGCAACGTTTGAAATTAGCAACCCACCACCATATATGTGAACAAAACCCATATGAAGGCAACATGACTTCATAGTATGAAGTGTGAAATTGAGAGTTCCAAATCAAGTCGTCAAGATATTGGGTCTTGGTGAGTATTTTCCGGGTCGCTTCTCGGATCTCGACCCAACCTTAATATCCTCCCTCAGCCATTGCCACCTAATGGTTTTGTACAGACAAGTTTTTGGGTTATGTAGCCTAATCCTTGAAGATTTAAAATAGTTTCCAGGTTAGATACCAAACAAGTTTTTGGGTTATAAAAAAAATTGTTCTTGAGAGAAGTTCATCCAAGTTGTTTTTAAGAATTATAATTTTTTTTTTTAGTAGGATATCAAACAGATCCTCCTTAAATTTTCAATATTTTTTCCCTTACATCTTCGGAGTTTGGATCTCTTTTTTTGTTTAGTTATAGATCAAATGTTGAGTTTGCTCGAAAATTTTTCGTCGTCGTTTGTGTAACTAGGAACGATGATTATCAATTTCATGGCGAAAGGAAGACTAGTATACCGGGGAGAATTTTTGTTGGAGTTTCTGCATTTTGACAGGGAGGCGAGAGAGTGAGGAGGAGAGAATATATTATTTAATTTCACCCTTTTTTTTAAACTAGGCAAATACTATATATTTGTATTACACGACGATTTATTTTTGTGTTTAGTTTGATACCTAAACTAAGTCATTATGTATTTTATCTCAAATTTTCGCTTGTATCAAAAGAACACCATCACACTATCTTCGAAAAATATAATAAAAAATTATGTTTTATTTTAATTTTATCTTGAAAATAACGAATCCGCAACCAGTTTATTTAACTTATTGACTCTATCGTTTGTCAAGAAAGAAATTTTGCTTTCTATGGGCTTGTATTGGGCTAATGCTGATTCCAAAATCTATGAATTCATCTTGAAGCTGGGCTTGCAGCAAAACTAGTCAAGCGAAGCCCACGATGGGAAATAGATTCGTCGTCATGGACTCATGGGAAGCAAAAGTGGGTCGGGAATAATAGAGTTGTTATCGGGTCTGGAGAACTCCTCGATCGAGAGAGATTTCAGAGTGTAGGGCTGGCTAGCTCAAATAGAGACGGAGAAAGAGAGAGTTATCGGCGAAGATGGGAGGAGGACACGGAGAGGGCATAACATACAAGGGAATCACGGTGCATCAGCCAAAGCGGTGGCACACCCTCACCGGCAAAGGCATGTGTGCTGTGATGTGGTAAACTCCGTCTACTCTCCCTACTTCGTCTGTACATTGGCGTGATGAGGTCAAATTTCTGTTATTTAGGATCTGCCTGCCGTGTTGTTTTAATCTTGTCTTTTGTACAGTTTATAATGTTTTCGGAATCTCGGATTCATGTTTAGGCATCGATTGTTAGGAACGTAGACCTGAAAATGCTAATAGGAAGAAATTGTAATTCATTCACTTGAATGTTGGGATTCAATTTGGGGATTCAGGCAGCTCAATACGAGTAGGGGTCGATCGGTTAGGAACTTAGACATGAGGAATTTAGAATTCTCTTAAAGGTTGGGATTCAAGTTGGGGATTCAGGCAGTTGAATAGTTGTGGAGATGAAAAATCAGGGATTTCTTCTCAGCCGAAATTGACTTAGGCAACATTTGGTTGATGAGTAGCTTATATAAAGCTATACTATCAAACATTACTTTGTATCTTTTTCTTACCGGTAAGCTTCCGG